AGACGAAGTGCAGTCCTTGCCGATTAGAATATAAAGGCTACATGTCAACAAGCATATTTAAGCATCTGTTTCAATTGAAGCATATGCTAAGAAACAATTTAAGTAAATGTGTGGTCTGTAGAATGAGGCAATAAATCCTTCTAATAATAAGCAAGCCCCTGAATCTTAGTGGTGGTGGTAGTTCCTTCAACAGACCTCTGAAGAACTATTCGTTCCAATGACTCGYCAGCAGAGGTAATGTTAACAACTTCAGGAAAGTTGTTTTTGTGTTTTGTTTATTTTCCTTCCACTAAGGAGTTCCAGCTTCGGAACTATGAAATTAGTTTTAATGCAAAATGTTACCTAATGATGTAGCTTTTCTTGTGCATATGCTGATGCAGATGACTGCTGAAGATCAAAACCGAAGGTAGAGGAAAGAAAAAAAGCCAGATAAAAATGCATCAAACAAATTTCAAAGTCTCTATAGTCAAAAATAGAGCTTCAGACTTTAAAACAAGCAGGAAGTCTCAAGGTAAAACACATTAAAGGCACTCTTCATAAGCTGGGCAAATTGTTTGCAGCATTTTCACCATCGAAGGAGGGCTGCCTAGTCTTTGTGAGAGCAGTTCTGCTGAAGCACAAGCACCCGCTCCCAGGAGGAGATGAGAATCCAAGTCCCCAAGTCAACTGCAGTGCCCTACAAGCTTCAGTTGCGCATGAAGTCATAAGCAACACTTGACTTTGAATCTAAAAATGAGCTAATCTTCCATCTTACCAAATCTTTGTATTTAAACACATGTCTTTTTTTTTTTTTCTTTTTTTAAGTCTACGAGGACATGAAGGGCATGACTAAGTTTATGAAACATCATGTCAGTACCTGCRTTGGTAAAACAGTATTCAACTGGATACTGTCAGGATGGATGATCCAACAGCCCACCAACCATACAACTGATATGCCCAAGCAGGCATATCAAGTTTCCTTGGTAAGCATAGGGAATACTCTATGTCAAAAATGAATTCTGAAAAAAAAACTCTGCATTAATGAGTTAAACTCATGTGGCATATTTTACTACTACTACAAAAAAAGTTATTTATATTACACATTACCAACCGTGAACGAAGTTTCCTGAGTACAAGACTGCAAATAACAAAATGCACTCTTTACAGCAAGAGAGGCAAAAACTGTGATGCCTGGAAGGACAGTACTGCAATGCACTCCCACAATGAAACACACGATAAAAAACTTCATGATGGTTTAGCCAAACAGCACAGTGGTTTTGAAATTTGTACTGTATTTATTTATCAAGTTAAATGTTTCATAAATACATAGACACAAATAGACAAGTACTCTACAAACAGTACAAAAAAATTCCATTACACACCGTGGATCCTGGTTTCCAATGAACCCAAGCAGTGTTTAATATTGCTGTAGAAGTTTTTATACTTCCTTGCTAATTTTACACTAAGCAAACATTGCAAAAGGAAAAAAATAAACCTTTATGACATAAGGGGAAAAAAGCAATACCTGTCCTTTCCACAACGCCTACATTTCCAGAAAACCATGGGCCTGATCCTTCAATTAGCATACATTTAATTTTAGTCTCAGAAGTACATCTCACTGGTTTTAAAAGAAAAGAATTGGCATTAATATAGACAAGTATATACATGTATTCAGGACTGAAGACAAATCATGTTTTCTATGCAGTAATTAATTCAGTAAACACACTAATAACATACAGAAGAAATAAAAACAGGTTACTGAGCAAAAAAAGAGTATGTTAAGCAGACTTTAACTGTAAAACTTTACTATAAGTGTATACACAGATAGTCATATATAAAATGTTTGCTTGCTGTAGTTAAATGACATTAAGCTATATGGAACCTTCTGTATTTTAGTCCAATCAAGTGCACTCAGCTAACAATTCTCAGGAGGCAGCATCCTGCCTCACTTGAAGTCAATAGAAATGTTGCCATCAGTTTCTGAGTCAAAGAAAGATTCAGAGAGAGGTTCCTCCTCACTGGCTCCATCACTTTTTTTTCATTTTTTAAAGAAGAGCAGAAAGAAATCTCTCCTTTATGAAGAAATTAAATTGAACAATGCAAGAGACAAATATGCAGATTTTATTTACAAATCTCTTGCAGCAGTTCCCTCAGGAGGAAAGACTTTTATTACTCAACCCTCCTGATCACTACCGTATCATCTGTTTACACATAAAGAAAATCATATGCTTGAATTTCCTTCTGAGTAAGAAAGCATGTAGCAGACTTAGAAATCCATCACAGAAGCAGAAAATCCATCACATGCAGTAGGACTGATCATGGTCAGTTCAGACCAGCAATTGCTTGGCTGCCCATACTCTCCCTTTGGAGGGAGAGCCTCCTTCCAAGGGAGAGMGCCAAGCCTGGATTCTTCTACTACCAACCTGTATGGAGCTATCCTTTCACCCTTCTTTATATCACAAGGAACCATGAGCAGGAACACATGCCTTTCAAGTGTGAAAATTGCTGGACTGCAGAATGGCTCTGTACTTTATACTTGGGAAATCACAAAAGCACAAGGGGAATGCTATCTAATTCTTAAAAGTTTAAGAATATGTTGCCAGACAGGGTCATCTGTCAGCAGCTCTCCTAGAGCAGCGTTTTATGCATCTTGCCAATAAGAGTCTCCCCTAAAGGCTAGAAAAGAGGCATACACCAAAGCAGAAAAAAAAAAAAAAAGAAAGGCACAAGCATTTCATTTAGAAGTAAACTACAGTATTTTATGCCAACTCAGTTAACTCTTTGCAAGACAAAACAAGGAGCTTAGGTCTTGAGTTTGACTAGATTCATTCATGAATTTGGATATCTAAAGTGTAAAGCAACAAAACTAGAACCTTCAACAAAATGAAGTGGGGAAGCAGCAGAAAAGGAAGTAGAAATTAAGACAGCTCTATGACATGGGTTAACAAATAGAAAACTTCCTTCACAGAATAACAGCGGTAACTTTTCCAGTCTTCAACATATACCTTCTTTGAGTGGTTTTGAGTACTAGCAAGTTCTATAGCTAAGAAGTTAAGTCAAATGCTTTGCCTGTTCTTATCTTATTTACTGTAAGCAAAGCAATACAATTGGTGGCAGAAATGGATTCTCAAGTGGAAGGCAGGCCTTTCGGTAACACATTACTGTAATTTCAAGGGAGAAATGACATTAAAGGAAGTATTTGCAGTGTACCAGAAAGGTTTCAGGTTTCAGGGTACTGTTGCCAAAAATTAGTTTTTAATACATTACGTACCACTTGGTGGTGATTATTTTTTCTCTTTGAAAATCCAGTCCCTAGAGGCTATCCTAGTTCCTAGGACAGCCAGTTCCTAGAGGAAAATCCAGTTCCTAGAGGCTATCCAGAATCCTAGTTCTTTTTCTTTAAAAGATTTTAGCTCTCAATGCAAAAGAAAATCGTGGACACAAATGAAAACATCTGGAATTTGGGACAGCAGGACCAGCCTCAGTGTTGCCCTTACAAGGGCAAGAAGTCAAACACAATTAAAATATAAACTGTGTAGCAGTTTAAACAGTTCAGCAAAAGGAAGAGATAACAGAAAAGAAGGGTTAAGATACAGCTTTCCTGTTAGCACAATCATAAGCACACCCTTGCTTTCTTCAATGTCAGTATTTATTACTCTGTTAGGAAAACGCTGATATCAACTTATCCTCAGTCAAAATTTACACTGCTAATCAAAAAATATTAAATGATCACCTCAAGAGATATAAAACCCTACTTATTACATAATCATTCAATGAAAGGTTAAAATGACATCCCAGTTGTTCTCAGTCTGTGATTGCCGGATGATGACAAGCACTGTAAATAAAGCTCATTTGAAATTGTTCATAAAAGTGTCACTCAACTTATTACTTCTGCAAGTGAACAGTTCTTTGATTTTCTGCTTTCTGTTTTATGCAACAATGTCCTGTTTCTAGTCCCATAACTTAAATGTTTGCTAAGGGCGAGAGGGAAAGTCAGGAGGYCTCAGCTACTCTAGGTGGTTAGGAGCTGCCAGAAGGCACCCTCACCCATCATTCATTAAATCCTAACCCAGTTTYGTAGCAGACTGAGGGGTTTGTTGTTGAGTTTTTTAAGCTGTTCTCTCAAAACGGAGAGCTTTCCATTTATAACAAATGTAATTTTGAAAATAAGAGAAAAAAGATGAATCAGCTGTTTACTAAAGGTTCCAGACCACATGGGTGGAAGCACTCTGAACATCACCCTAGTATCTTTTTCTGAATATCSATCTAGTTAAAATACCATGAGAAGTTTTACACTGAACCAGAATAAAGCATTAAAAAATCTACAAACTCTATGAAACCATTGGAATAGCCAYGGTATCTGTGCTTTGGTTGGGCTCAGGCCTACTTTGGCTAACATCAGAACTCCTATGGGCTTCAGTGAGTTGAGGACTGCCCCATTAATTATGCAACATGAAAGCTTAAAACTGCATTTTAAGATGACAAATTTTAAATGTAACTATGAGACATGCACTGATCTAAAGAGGCTTACTGTAGAAACTCAAGGGCAAAAGTTTAAGTTGAAAACCATTTCCTATACTTAAAAAAGTACTCTATCTAAAATTCTCTCTTAAATATTGCCGCTTTCATCTTCAAGCAAGCACACTTGAAGTAGGCTGACACTGCAGCACCACTTTAATGTGCARGAGATAAAAGGGAAGAGACTGAGAAAACAAAATGTGACGCTGTTAGTGAACAAACGTCACAGAGAAAACAAGAAGCATCCTAATTTCTCATATTTATTAAGGCACTGGTACAGATAACAACTGTAATCAAATATAAGAAAATAATTTCATCATTACAAGGCTCTTGGTTTCTAGGCATGTATTTGACAACTGCTATGATTTATCTGTTTCTTTGTTGTTTTTTTTTTTTTTTTTTCATATGGAGCATTCCTATTCCATTTCATCGCATTTCCATAATTCTTAAAAACAATCAAACAAAAATATGAAAAGACAAAACAAAAAGCTCACAACACTTACCAGGAATAATCATGAATAAAAGCCTGGGTAGATTTTTACTTTCATCTTTTGAGAGGTCCTTCCAGGGCCCACACTTTAAGACATGGGTAGCAGCTCCACAACAGTAAATAAATTCTTCATGTAACGGGACTGGCTCTTCTGACCTCATGTTTGCTGTTAGACATAGTAAGAAAATATTATAATTTATCATCATGTATTAACCTAGTTAGTTGTGCACGATTACACTTACCCCAATGTAACCACAGAAACATATATAATACAAATTACAGATACAAATAATCAGAATTACCTCCTCCCCACAAATACARACCCAACAGAGAGGCATGCCCCAGCTATGGGAGCTCAGTGCCTGAAACAACCACCACCACCAAAAACATAATAAACATATTTTCATAAGGTGACTGGTTATGAATTCAAATGCCATCAGGATGAACTATGACACACATGAGCACCTGCCAAAATAAGCATTTACTGAAGGATGGCAGGTGCTGTTATCAAAGGAGGATCAGCACCAGCCCTGGTTTCTGCACCCTTATCTCTGAGCTCCACTTGAAACAGAACACGGTGCTTGGCAAGTCAGCAAGGTCCTTCGTAATAACTTCAGGGGTTTTTTAAGGTCTGCAAAATACCTTCAATCTGGTAAGAGCTGTATTTCGGGTTCCTGACAGCAACAGGTCTAGCAGAGCTGAGGAACTTGGTTAAGTTTCCCTGGAAAGGCCATGAATTTTAATCCAACGGATGACCATCGGTAGTGAAAAAGGCTGGTTTGTTTAACTACATGTTGCTAATAAAAAGGGTCTAACTTTCAGGATGGATTGGATAGAGGCATTAAACTTGACTAAAGTATATATGCTATATAAAGATGAAAGCGTAACAAGAAAGCAAMCATTAAAAAGACAAAAAGTAAGCACCTATGATCATACACCAGCAAATCTCAAGGGTCCTCAAGGACTTCACATACAATCACTGCAGAAAAACTTTTTACTAAGCCTAATTTTGAAAGGAGCAGAGAGAAGTAACAAGCACCTGAATGTCATTTAATAAGATTGTTTTCTTTCCCGTGACCAAAAAATCACTGTTTAGTTTTTGATTYATACAGGAGCAATGCAGCACTACGTGGAATTAGGAGACAGAATTTAAGCAAGATAAGAAYATGATCAAATGACATGCAGCAGGAAATGATATTGCAATAAAGTGGATAATAATTCTGTGTGCCACAATAAGCTTTAAAATATCAAACATAGCTAATTAAGGATAACATTAGCTCTTTGAAATCTCCTTGCCAAGTGAAAAACATTTAGAAAAAAAGGCCATTCATTTTTGAGTGCAAGGATCCAGCCTCTATTTCCTACTCGCTTTGTGAAGTTTAGGGCCTAAAAATTGAACAGTGGTACAAAGCCACTGTGATAACAAACTCGTTGACTACTGAATTGATACATCACACCTTAAATGGAGATCCTCAAAGCATCTATACTGCTCGTGCAGAAAAGCATCTGCTTAGGAAAAAGAAATTTAAAGCAGACAACATTTCCAGGATCAGCTACGGGAGGAGGGCAGCGATGCTGGAAAACAGGCAGTTTCTAGTGATGCTGGAAAACAGGAGCAGATCCGGAGCGAAGCTGCACATAATGATGCTCGACTACRTGAAACACGCACTCGTAGGAACAAGAGCTCTTTTCTTCCCTCAGTTCACATGTGAAGTTCTGAAAGGTTGGACCTGGACAGCAGGCCATAGAGAGGAGCCAGATTCTGATAATTTAAAACAAATCAAGTCGCTGGGGGACAAGAGGGTGAAGGAAAATACAATACAAATAGAAAATGTTTCTGGGGAAAGGATTTTAATGCTTTCAATTACAGCATAATTCTCTGGATGAAGCTTTTTTCCCACCTCCTTTAATTGCAAGGGTGACACCTTTATTGCTTCATTACTCTCCGCRTTACCTTTCTAACTTACAGCAACTAGAACATAAATAATTGAACCAAAGGTTGTCAAACTGTAATGAGGTCGGTTTYGCAATGTATCATTCCTTTATTTAACTCCTCATTACTTAAACCTGAAAGAAGTCAAGAGCATCTCTGACAAAAAAGAAAAAAAAAAAACAAAAAACCACCAGTTATGTCAACAACCTACGTACACATTCAGTCTGTCAGGCCTTTCCTGAGATGTTTACACTGCAGGAAGCATTTTTTTTAAGTCCTTACTTACAAAAGTAGGTTTCATATAAAGCTTCTGAGCACGAACAAATAAAATCAGTTACAAAGTTGGACTGGAGATTTCACTGAAGTCCAATGCAAAATCCCACTGACAATTCTTGATTCTTAAGTAACACCTGCAAGCTCTTGAAACCAGACTTGAAACCAGATATTGCAATACCTGGAAGCCAGACTGCACACTAGAGAAGAAAATGCTGGACAGATAAAAAGCCTGCAAAGAGCTTTAATAAATTTCTGAAAAAAATCACCCAATATTGCCAATATCAAATTCCCCCTAACCTCCCAATATCAAGACTATGCAGTGGAAGAGGGTGCTTTATTTATTTGCTGCAAGGAGGTTATTTGCATGTTTTCCCTTTGGCCACACAAATAGAGAAAAATAGGGAGAGAAGATGGCAAAGATGACCAATGGGGTGCGGAAGGGAAAAGRGCTCGAGAAAAAGATATGACTGTAGGAAACCAGCCTCCTTTATATTCCATTGAATATTTTCTCCTTTCCCTCCATAAATTCATTAAACAATGAAAAGATATTAAAAGAAAGGCCTGGTAAAGAAAGACATGGCTCAAAGTTCTGCTACAATACAGAAAGATTACTGGTTAGGGCTTTAGCCCTGAATTAACACACCCTTAACAGAGGTGTCYACCTACAGGCAAGCTCCTGTTCTGGGATACAGAGATCTGGGCTTGATCTGTGAGCAACCCACGAGGTCAGCTCCTAGGTTTCAACCTCAGGATGAGCCAATCTCTACCAGTAACAGCTTATAATGAGAACTCAGACCAACATCGATATTTAGGTGTTTCGTGGATGATCTGCATGYCACTTTCATATGAGAACATGATCTGCATGTCCCTTACTGAGAATACTTTGGAAAAAGAGTTATTCGTAAAGAGTATATCCTTGTTTCAGACTTTACAAGAGTAAAGTCAACCTTCCTGGCACACAAGGTGTTTCATCTTTTACGCAGCACAACTGACCACACATCATCTGTTCTGTCCTGCTTGGGCTTTAAGCTTAACTTGTATGATCATTTGGAAATCACAGCATTGTTATGTAACCAAAACAGCATTTAATGAAGGGATTATCCCAAACTTAGTGAACACTGCATACAGAGTGTACCTTGAGGGAGGTATTTACACTACTGGGGCGGGCATACTTTCCAGATGCTTGATTAACACCTGGCCTACAAACAACCCAATGCAAGACAGGACAAGCAGGTTGGTGCACCTGGTAAGGTACACCGAGTTGGGATAGTGCCTTAGAGCTGCAAAAAGGCAGCTGTCATGCACATTACAGTAGAGGGGTTGASCTGCTGGAGAGCAGCTCCACAGAGAGGGATGTGGGGGTCCTGGTTGACACCATGAGTCAGCAGTGTGCCCTCGTGGCCAAGGCGGACGATGGGATCCTGGCTACATCAGGAGGAGTGTTGCCAGCAGGTGGAGGGAGGGGATCCTGCCCTTCTACTCAGCTCTGGTGAGGCCRCACCTGGAGCACTGTGTGCAGTTCTGGGCTCCCCAGTATAAGAGGGATGTGGAGCTTCTAGAGCAGGTCCAGTGGAGGGCAACAAAGATGATTAAAGGCTGGAGCATCTACCTTACGAGAAGAGACTGAGTTGGGCCTGTTTAGCCTGGAGAAGAGAAGACTGAGAAGACTGATCTGATCTATATGTATAAATACCTGAAGGCAGAATGTGGGTAGGATGGGGACAAACTCTTCTCAGTGGTTGCCAGTGACAGAGCAAYGGGTAATGGGTATAAGCTGAAACCCAGGAAGTTCCATCTCCCTGAGAGGAAGAACGTTTTTCCTGWGAGGGTGACAGAGCCCTGGAACAGGGAGGTTGTGGAAGCTCCTTCTCTGGAGATCTTCAAAACCCACCTGGATGCCATCCGGTGCCATACGCTCTGGGTGTCCCTCCTGGAGCAGAGGGAGTTGAACTAGATGATTTCTAGAAGCCCTTTCAACCTCAACCGTTCTGTGATTCTGTGACACATTCAAGACAGAGCACACAACAAGCTGACCAGTCAGCTTCATCTCAGTTCCCAAGAAAGCTTTGAAGAAAATCATAGAATCATAGAATAGAATCATAAAATGCCCAAGGTTGGAAGGGACCTCAGAGGTCACTGAGTCCAACCCTCCTGCACATGCAGGGTCACCTAGAGCACGTGGCACAGGGCTGCATCCAAGCGGGTTTTAAAGATCTCCAAAGACGGGGACTCCACAACCTCTCTGGGCAGCCTGTTCCAGTGCTTTGTCACCCTCACAGTGAAGAAATGCTTCCTTAAGTTCCTGTGGAACTTCCGATGCTTCAGTTTGAAGCCATTTCCTCTAGTCCTATCACTGTCCACCACTGAAAAGAGGCCGCCCCGCTCCTCCTCACTGCCTCCCTTGAGGTATTTATACACGCTGATCAGGTCCCYCCTCAGCCTCCTCTTCTCCAGGCTGAACAGACCCAGCTCTCTCAGCCTTTGCTCCTCTAGGAGTAAAGGCTGAAAGAAAATCCTCCAGGACATTTCACTCCCACACATGAAAAGTCCAGGAGCACCAGCACAGATTCATCAAGGGTATATCCTGCCTAAATAATCTTAYTGCCTGCTACAAGGAAACAAATGGGTCCATGGATGAAGAAACACCACCAGAGGCCATTTAGCTTAATTTGAACAAGACTTTTACTACTGACAAGTGTATTATGTAAACTGACTATGATGGCTGGCAGGTTGAGAGGACCAGTTGGTTCAATGGGTTGCAACTAGCATTTCCATAAGAAAAAGCAATAATCTAACTATCGGTGTTCCTCATGGATAAATATTATGTCATATTATTAAAAGCCTGGACAATGGGACAAGAGTGTACCCTCAGCAGCTTTGCGCATGATATCAACTTGTGAGGAGGAAGAAAAAACACCGGAGGACAGGACTGCCATTCAAATGGGTTTTGGTAGACT